AGTGCTTGTGAAAATGCCTTGCATCGGTATCGGGACATCCCTAGTAAGCACCCGGTCAGTGTTAAATATTTTGGCTCAAACCTCTAACTTCCCCTTTGGCTGGACAGCTCGGCTTCTTAAGGAAAGTTAAAACAAAAAAAACCCTCTATTGTAGGAGAGGACACGAGGCTCTAGCCCACGTTGACCCCATCTGATGACATCCATCCACGCTCAAGCGAAAAATAATTCCTAGTTCTCATAATCGAATTCTCGAAAAACAGAATATTCTCAAAATCATATTTAACAACAGATTGCAGGCATGGAGGGGTTAAGCCGGAGAACGCACCCACCGTAGCTCGCCATCTAAGGCCTGGATGACGGCGGCGTAGCTCCTGCCGGTCTCATTCAGGTATTTGTAGCAGGTCCGTAGGCCCTCGCCCATGGGCTCCTGTCGGGGAAGAGAGAAGGGATTGAACCCGCACACGGATGGAGACATTTTGTGGTACAAAGTATCTGTGCACGGTGTGGCCTTCCTTGAGCCTCCCATTCTGCAATGCTCCATTGGATGGAGATCTGGAGAATTTGGAGGCCAAGTCATCACCTGAAACTCGTTGTTGTGTTCCTCAAACCATTCCTGAACCATTGTTGCAGGGTGGCAGGGCGCATTATCCTACCACTGCCATCAGGGAGTACCGTTTCCATGGAGGGGTGGACTTGGTCAGTGACAAAATTTACATCAGACCAGGCCACCTTCTTCCATTGCTCCGTGGTCCAGTTCAGATGCTCACGTGCCCATTGTAGGTGCTTTTGACAGTGGACACGGGTCAGCAGGGGCACCCTAACCGGTGTGCGGCTAAGGGATCGGACTACGTTTATTATGGGGGCTGATCTGGAGTCTGAATGTTAAGGGGGGCTGATCAGGGGTCTGAATTTTAAGGGCCACCATGGCTACACATGGTGATGTAACCATGCATGGCATAAAGGAATTTTGCTTAAGAAACACTTGGGAGTGCTGGTGACTATCACATTTACCTGAATGTTAATGGCGCCTTACCTAGGGTCTGCTTGCCAAGGCAGGCTGATCAGGGGCCTGAAAATTAAAGGAGAACTATGGGGTTAAGGCTTTTCCCCATAGTTCTCCTAAGGGTAAAGGGAGGACACAAACTAGCGTCCTCCCGTCACATAAAGCTCAGTATACCGCGAGCTACAGATAGTAGTATACTGAGACACCGCAGCCGGGACGGATCCCGAAAATACCGTCTGAATCCACCCAGCTGCATGAGTGACAGCTGGCTCTGCCTATCTAGAGGCAGAGCCAGCTGTACCCGCCCCCTCCCACGTCCGTTCCGCCAGTCAGCGCTGGAGGATCGGACAGGGGAGGGATCCCTGCAGGGAGCTGTGAGTGACCGTCACGGCTCTCTGCAGGGATAGATCGAGAAGTGAGCGAGCGATGCAGGGCGCTGCTGGCTCGGCGGGTCTACCCGCACTGATCGGAGAGAGATTCAGCGGCTTCCAGCTGCTGATCTCTCCTCCGATTACTGGACCCGGAATTGATGTGTATTGCATCACTTCCGGTGTCACTAGTTACCGTCTCCGGCTCTTAGATCGGCTTCCCCAGCTTCTTCTCCTGGCTCTCTGCTTCCTCGGCTTCTTTGGGGTCTGAAAGACCCCTGATGTCTCCATAAAGAGGACCTGTCACACACTATCTGCTATTACATAGGGGGCTTGGCTTTCAGAAAATATATAATGTTTGGGGGGGGGGAGGGGATGAAATAATTGTTGTGTCTAAAATGTAGATTATAACATGTAAACAACAAAATTAAAAGAAAAAAAGAAAGAAAAAAAGGTCATGAATGGGTTAAATATGTTATTATACATTATAAATCTACGATTGGAAATATTATTCATGGAATGAGCAATACAGGCAGGTGAGGTGAGGACAGCACACGGCGATGAACCCCACCATTACCATCCATAATCAGGGTGAGGACCATGTGCAACATGTAATTAGGGGTGGGGAGGGTTTGCTGAGGACGCAGAGGGGGCGACGTCCGCTCCCAAACACGCCGAAACGTTTCTTATATAAACTTTGTAGGTCTGAGTTCGGTCTCCTCACGGGACAGAGATCTGTGAATTGTCCGACCCCGCGGACACCGATTATATAGAGCGCCCTGCCACCGACTCCCACCCCGGGGATCACGGCAGGTGACGCTCAGCATGTTGGCGTTTTCTTCTTCATTACAACAGATACATTTAGAAAGATTATCATCTCATCTCAGAGAAGCGTGATTGGTCACTCCAGAGAACACGTCTCCACTTCTCTAGAGTCCAGTGGCGGCATCCCACGCTTTGCATTGCACTTGGTGATGTGCGGCTTGGATGCAGCTGCTCGGCCATGGAAACCCATTCCATGAAGCTCTCTACGCGCTGTTGTTGCGCCAATCTGAAGGCCGCATGGAGTTTGGAGGTCTGTAGCTATTGGCTCTGCAGACGGTCGGCGACTTCTGCGCACTGTACGCTTCAGCATGCGCTGACCCCGCTCTGTCATGTGACGTGGCCTACCACATCGTGGCTGAGTTGCTGTTGTTCCCAGTTGCTTCCACTTTGTTATACCAGTAACAGGTGACCGCGGAATATTTAGTAGCAAGGAAATGTCACGGATGGACTTATTGCGCAGGTGACAACCTATCATGGTATCACGCTTGTAGTCACTGAGCTCCTGAGAGCGACCCATTCTTTCACAAATGTTTATAGAAGCGGCTGCATGCCGAGGTGCGTGATTCTGTACACCACCTGTGGCCGTGGAGGTGATTGGAACCCCTGAATCCAATGATTTGGAGTGGTGTCCCAATACTTTTGGCAATATAGTGTATATATACATATATATATACTGTATACACACCGGTGATGGAGAACAATCTCCAGGATGACCCGGCACGGATTCTCCGGAGGACCTGTACTTTTATATTGACGGTCGTGGTGCACAGCATGGTCCAGATACAGCACTGGAATGGAACTCCACACTCACCACCCCGGCATCTTCAACCATCAGCGAGGATGTTGCTTGGCTTCACTTAAGGGGTCTTCAGGGATAGGCTCACCCCAAGCAATGGACCTGTATAGCACCCTACAGCTAACCCAACACTCTGTATAATCTGTACTAAAGGGGGGTTCCTCAGCTTCACTCACTTCAGGCAAGCTTACCCCAATGCAATGGTATAAGGTACACTCCTTCATCACCCCATTGGCATCTTATTGAACGATGGAAGGGGGGGCAGATGATAGGATGATAATGGTGGGGACAGAGCTGGAAAAACTAAAGAGAAGAGGAGGAATGCAGCGAGTCCACTCGGGGGACTGGAGGGTGGCATGGAGGACTGGAGGGGGTCAGTGTGGAGTGTGAAGAGCTCCGCGGTGTGTGGCTGTCACCGAGGAGGAAGGAGCCCGGGCCGGTGCTGATTTCCACCATAGGGCTGCGATGTCCCCTCCTCCATCGGCTCGGGTTATTTTGCCTCCTTCAGTCACATGGTAGCAGACGGCCGGGCTGAGCACCCCCCAACAGTGTGCGGTGATAGCTACAGACATCTGTGGACACCCCCGCCTGTCGGACAGGCGGTACCCCTCGGCGGTGGGCACCTGTAGTCAGATGCCCCTGTTATACCCTTCTGGGATGCCCCTCCGCCATGACTCACCTGTTTCACCTTGTACATGGCCACCTTGTACCTGATGAGGTTGTACATCTCCTCCGGATGACCGAGCGACCTCAGGAGCTCCATAGCCGGGGACGGGGCGCTCTCCGCATACAGGTGTGTGCCGCTTTTATACAAGCAGCGGTTGGCCCCGCCCACACCTGTCTCCGGCGGCCAATCGCTTTCCGGGACCCTGTAGGGGCGGGGTAGTGGGCGTGGCGTGCTGTTCTCTGGTCCTTGCTGCTCGTAGTTGTCGTTGACAAGGGATGATGGCGCACTGCTACTAATGAGCACGGGCTGGAGATGTCCCCCGCTCTGTGTAGATGATTTCACTGAGGAAAAGGCATTACATAACAAACATAGCCGGGAAAAGCAGATCTAAAGTCTAAAAAGGTCAAATAAACACTCGGCTGGAACCTATCTATTACAGGTCAAGCCGGAGAAATGTAGAAATTTAGGGTCTCTTATCAGATCACAGCTGAGAGCTCGAACCACTTGTTTAAGACATTCGGCACCAAACTATTAAAGGGAAACACTATATCACCAAAAGTATTGCCCCCCCCCTCTCTCCTCCAAATCATTGGACTCAGGTGTTCCGTAACATTTCCTTGCTACTAAATATTCCGCGGTCACCTGTTACTGGTATTATAACAAAGTGGAAGCAACTGGGAACAACAGCAACTCAGCCAGGAAGTGGTCGGCCACGTCACATGACAGAGCGGGGTCAGCGCATGCTGAAGCGCACAGTGCGCAGAAGTCGCCAACTGTCTGCAGAGTCAATAGCTACAGACCTCCAAACTCCATGTGGCCTTCAGATTGGCACAACAACAGTGCGTAGAGAGCTTCATGGAATGGGTTTCCATGGCCGAGCAGCGGCATCCAAGCCGCACATCACCAAGTGCAATGCAAAGCGTGGGATGCCGCGGTGTAAAGCACGCCGCCACTGGACTCCAGAGAAGTGGGGACGTGTTCTCTGGAACGACCAATCACGCTTCTCTGTCTGGCAGTCCGATGGGCGTGTCTGGGTTTGGCCAGGAGAACGGTACTTGCCTGACTGCATTGTGTCAAGTGCAAAGTTTGGTGGAGGGGGATTATTTTTCGGGGGTTGAGCTTGGCCCTTTAGTTCCAGTGAAGGGAACACTTAAGACATCAGCACACCAAGACACTTTGTCCAACATGACTGCGCACCAGTGCACAAAGCAAGGTCCTGAAAGACATGGATGGGGGAGTTTGGGGTGGGGGAACGTGACTGGCCTGCACAGAGTCCTCAACCCCATAGAACACCTTTGGGATGAATTAGAGCGGAGACTGCGAGCGCGGCCTTCTCCTTCTCCAACATCAGTACCTGACCTCACAAATGGTCCAACATTCCCATAGACACACTCCTAAACCTTGTGGACGCCTTCCCTTGTGGTAGCCAACCCAATACTGAACCCTACGGACTAAGACTGGGATGCCATTAAAGCTCAGTAGATCGGGAAGTGAGCGAACACATACCGTCGCTCGCTCACTTCTCGATCCTGTCCCTGCAGAGAGCCGTGACTGTCACTCACGGCTCCCTGCAGGGATTCCCCCCGCCCCCCCTCCCCGCTCTGATCCTCCAGCGCTGACTGGCGGAACAGACGGGGGAGGGGGCAGGCACAGCTGGCTCTGCCTCTAGATAGGCAGAGACAGCTGTCACTCACACAGTTGGGTGGATGCAGACGGTAATGTCGGGATCCGTCCCGGCTGCGGCATCTCAGTAGCTCCCGATATACTGAGCTTTGGGTGACAGGAGGACGCTAGTTTGTGTCCTCCCGTTACCCTTAAGAGAACTACGGGGAAAAGCCCTAACTCCATAGTTCTCCTTTAACCACTTGCTGACCGCAGTGTTTACACCCCCTTCCTGGCCAGGCCATTTTTCAGTATTCAGCGCTGCGGTACTTTGACTGCAGCTATATGTAACAAGTGCTGCGTAATTGGCGCAATCTTTGTTTTTGCGTGTAGGCACCCCTATCTACAAGGGGGGGTTTAAAGATGTTGTGGGTTTTTTTGTGTGTGTAAATTTTATTTATTTTGTGTGCAATTTTTTTTCTTTTTAAACACAACTTTATTGGAATCCCCCTATGTGATATCAAATTAGAGTGACAGGTCCCCTTTATGGAGACATCAGAGAAGCTGATGAAGCACAGAACTGCTTCATCAGCTTCTCTCCGGTTTCTGTACCGGAGATTGATAGAGGGATGCGGAAGTCATGTACCAAGCATCACCTCCTGCATTCGGAGAGCGTAGGGAGATGGTGTACTGTTCTCCCTCCGTTCTTAGTGCACGGAGCAACATCGCCCATCCCGGATCGGACGCCTGGGATCAGGGAGACGGCGACCACAGGAGAGGTAAGGAGGGGGGCACCCAGAGAGATGCAGCATACAAGCGATAGGGCGACCTTACAGACACCGGACTGCTTGTATGTAAACGGCTGGCCGGGTCGGGATTGGCTAGGAAGCCGGCTTCACGTGTAGATAAGCAGCTTGGCTTCCTGACCAATCAGGAAGCTGAACGGCACCTCATGACTCGCCGCCCGGGTTCCTGATTGCTCACCAGTGTAAAAGGGCACCTGGCGTCTTACCACCAATGTAAGGGGCCCTTCTTCACTGACCCCCCCAATCTAAGGAGGCACCTCTACCACTAACCACCAATGTAAGGGGCTTCTTCTCCACTGCCCACCAATGTAAGGGGCCCTTCTTCTTTGACCCCCCAACCTAAAGAAGCTATGTGAATAGCAAGAGCCTTGCAGGGGGAAGGGCAAGTGGACTTTTCTCTTTTGGGGAGCTTTGCTATAACTGGAACTTCGAGCTGGGAGAGGGATGGCAATTTCCTTATCTTAAATAGGGATGAGCTCAGGTTCAGACCAAACCCGATGTAAACCTGAGCTCCTCCCAAACATGGATGGAATGTTTGGGAGGAGCTCAACGATAGGCTGGGAATTCCCCGCCCGCAGCTTGACACATGACCTCCCAATCAAAGGAGGCACCTCTACGACTAACCACCAATGTAAGGGGCTTCTTCTCCACTGCCCTCCAATGTAAGGGGCCCTTCTTCACTGACCCCCCAATCTAAGGAGGCACCACTAATGTAAGGGGCCCTTCTTCACTGACCCCCCAATCTAAGGAGGCACCACTACCACTAACCACCAATGTAAGGGGCCCTTCTTCACTGACCCCCTAATCTAAGGAGGCACCTCTATGACTAACCACCAATGTAAGGGGCCCTTCTTCACTGACCCCCTAATCTAAGGAGGCACCTCTATGACTAACCAACAATATAAGGGGCTTCTTCTCCACTGCCCACCAATGACACATGCAAAGGGGCGGGATGCAGTGGCGTCATTGACTTTACATGCTACAAGGCATTATTATGTAAAATGACATTTACCCAATATGGCCATATAAAAGAGAAATGTCGTCAGCACAAGCATCCCGGCCCTTTGTTTGTGGGGCGGAGAATGCCCCGACCTGCATCTCATTGGGCGGGAGGCCTATGTACCTTCCGTGTTCAGATGAGCTTAGGCTCGGTCCGGGTTCATCTCTAACCTTGAGCAATAGGTTTGTGGATAAAGCAGGCTTTGTAACTTTGTTACCTAGTGCCCAATTCTCCTAGAGGCAGCGGCCTAACCCTACGCATCAGATTCTCCAGAGCCGTGTCCCTCAATGGACGAGGCTTTGTAACTTTGTTACCTAGTGTCCAATTCTCCTAGAGGCAGCGGCCTAACCCTACGCATCAGATTCTCCAGAGCCGTGTCCCTCAATGGACGAGGCTTTGTAACTTTGTTACCTAGTGTCCAATTCTCCTAGAGGCAGCGGCCTAACCCTACGCATCAGATTCTTCAGAGCCGTGTCCCTCAATGGACGATAAAGGAAATCTAGTAAAATGAAGTCAATGTATCAGACACGTGGGCACCCACTGATAAAAAGAGACCGACAACGTAAATCAATTCATCTGTCATTTTATTTAATAAAAATAAAAATACATTGTATAACAATGTCACAATACAGATCATTCCCAACACTCCTGAGTAAGAGGATACAGTGCACACCGCTGGAGCACTGCAATGATACCTGTGTGCAGACAGGGGGCGACGGAGTAACCTGTTCACTGACGCATGGCAGCAGTGAAGGGGTTAATGACGGACCAATCCCATCATTCTCTGCACATTACTAAAGGCCAAAAGCAGGAGCAATTCAATGCAACCAATCGAATGCAGACTAGGCAGGCAATGCAGAACTCCGATTGGTTGCCATGAGATTCCGCCCTTCATCGCTACTTGTCACACTGCCTCATGGAAGAACTTCTTTAGCCTTTATGGGACGATGGTTTCATAGACGGAGCATCGAGAATGGAATCGTCTATCAACATCTTCCAGTTGGTTTCACTGAAGATTATTATTATTATTACAAAGAGAAATGCAGAAACAAAAAATAATAATATCTCCTAACCACCATGCCAATGGCACCCTACCCAAGGATGGGGTACAGAGAAATCTTAGCTGGAATGGACGCCCACAAACATTTAGTCTGTTACATTTGGGAGGTCAATCCAATCAGACTTCAGCTTTGTGTGGACACCAATGGACTGAACCAACCGGCAGCTTCTTAGAGACTTCAGCTAGGAGATTTTCCCGTGGTCTGTCTCCGCCCCCTTCCCACAGGGACATATCAGAGGGTGTCACTGCTCCCCAACAACCATGGTAGCTGGGTGGAACTGAAAACTCTTCTTGGAGTATCTCTGCACTAGAATCCCTCAGAAGAAAAAGAAGCCAGTGAGTGAATCAGTCCACCGGAGCCCATCCAGGACAGCGATCTTCATTTTCTTGGGGTTGACCTTAAATTTTGATGTGCTTCAGTTTGCTTAAAAGTTGTGACCCCCTCCCCCCAGATTACAGCCTGTAACAATTCTAAGGTCCTCTCACTGACAACTTGACCAACTGAGAAGACAAGACTTCTGGAAGGAGCAGAAGTACCACTTATGGATGTGACGGTCCAAACATACGTCTACCTGCACAGAAGATATGACCTCCAACCTGTCACTCTGATATAAAGGCCGACGCCTCCAAGTTGGTTCAGAATTCATCTCATACATTGACTTATAACCAAAGACATGTGCAGAGCCTTGGAGGTGCCTGCTATTGCATCCCGGCTATACTGGACCCTTCTCGGTCTTGTACATGCTTCTCTTTCCTCAAAGTGTCGTATGGATCCAAAGTGGGATCTCCGACACCCTAGAGGCCGAAGGTAAAGCAGCGGACCTCTATTCACTTCGCTCTCCATAAAATGTCTTTCCCATCTAATGAAGATCTCAGACATCCTAGGAGCTGAAGGTAAAGCAGAGGACCTGTACATGCTTCTCCTACACAAGACGTCTTGCCTATCTAAGGGGAGCTCTCAGACATTCTAGGGGCAGTGTGGAGGACCCGACCTTCTACCCCCGGGCAGTGTGGAGGACCCGACCTTCTACCCCCGGGCAGTGTGGATAACCACATCTTCTACCCCGGGCAGTGTGGATGACCACATCTTCTACCCCGGGCAGTGTGGATGACCACATCTTCTACCCCGGGCAGTGTGGATGACCACATCTTCTACCCCGGGCAGTGTGGATGACCACATCTTCTACCCCGGGCAGTGTGGATGACCACATCTTCTACCCCGGGCAGTGTGGATGACCACATCTTCTACCCCGGGCAGTGTGGATGACCACATCTTCTACCCCGGGCAGTGTGGATGACCACATCTTCTACCCCGGGCAGTGTGGATGACCACATCTTCTACCCCGGGCAGTGTGGATGACCACATCTTCTACCCCGGGCAGTGTGGATGACCACATCTTCTACCCCGGGCAGTGTGGATGACCACATCTTCTACCCCGGGCAGTGTGGATGACCACATCTTCTACCCCGGGCAGTGTGGATGACCACATCTTCTACCCCGGGCAGTGTGGATGACCACATCTTCTACCCCTTTTTTTATGACCCCCTCTTCTCCCCCGGGCAGTGTGGATGACCACATCTTCTACCCCGGGCAGTGTGGATGACCACATCTTCTCCCCTGGGCAGTGTGGATGACCACATCTTCTACCCCGGGCAGTGTGGATGATCACATCTTCTACCCCGGGCAGTGTGGATGACCACATCTTCTACCCCCGGGCAGTGTGGGGACAATATTCACTTAATGTCATGGAATTTGAACATTTCCTTTAATATAAAAAGGTTCAAAATGTAAATAATTGCAATCCTAAAATTGTGATTCTCAACCAATGGGCACAACTGGAAACTTTTTTTAAGTGGCAAAGCCGGAGATTTCCAGGAAGGGGAGAGAAGCGGCCGATAAAGAAAGGGATGAAAATGGCAGTGGGGCACTCGCCTGTCCCTCTCTTTTGCGGCTGCACTTCTGGACCTCAGTGATCCCTCCTGATTGTTCACCCAGCCGGCACTGAGAACACCTCCACCATTCCTCTATTACAACCAGCACCGCCCTGGTCTGCCCTGTACGGCATGTGGACTATGCCAAATACAGGCCGGAAAATAAACCAGAAAACCCCATGAAAAGCTGGCATTGCCGGCTGAGCTCTGGAACGTTCCCGGGTACGCCGGTAGGACCTCTCCAGACTGTTGACCTCACAGTCTCTTCTAAAAAGGTTTTGTCAATTTTACGACTTCCGGACAGCCAACAGAACTGCCATCATTTCATCAGCTGAACACCGTGCTAGGACTTCAACTTCCACCAAAGCTGCACAGATCCAGGCTGGAAATGTTCTCTTAAATGGAAATGCGCTTCCTGTCCTCTCCTCCAGCACTCTATGCCGGCATTGCAGTGTAATGATGACACCCTCCAGCGCTCTATGCAGTGTAACGGTCACATCCTCCCCTCCAGCGCTCTATGCAGTGTAATGGTCACATCCTCCCCTCCAGTGCTCTATGCAGTGTAATGGTCACATCCTCCCCTCCAGCGCTCTATGCCGGCATTGCAGTGTAATGGTCACATCCTCTTCTCCAGCATGCCCACACAGTGTGGATGACCACATTTTCTACCCCGGGCAGTGTGGATGACCACATTTTCTACCCCCGGGCAGTGTGGATGACCACATTTTCTACCCCCGGGCAGTGTGGAGGAAGAGAAGGGGGGCATCTGACCAGATCTGTCAGCTTACAGAGTGGTCAAACAATGGTGCCCATTGGACTACCCAATCATATTTAAACCTCGTGGACAAATACTTGGAAGTGAGAGTAAGACTGAGAACAGGGATTGCTGCTTCAATGTCTGACTAGCCAATTCCGTGACTTCAAGTGAGCTTTTAAGGTGCAAAAGAAACATCCATATTCTTATTTTACTGCCTACTGAGTGAAAGGACAAGCAGAAGTCTGCAGCCAGTGGAATCTGGAGCTTCATACCCACATATTTGCTATGGGCATAGAACTCCCTAAGTAGTGAAGGAAGGATGAGGATGACAGTCCAGTGTGTTCCACTGTAGCTTTTACATTACTGCCCTCATACTTTCACCTTATGATCATCATATTATACACCTTACCCCTAGTTCAGAAGGTACCTAAGCATGTCTGCACTCATGAAGGTCTATAATGATGAAGTCTGTTGAGCCTTTCGAATCACATGAAGGTCCAATCAGAAAACCATACGGGTCCACCTCATTGGTTACATAACAGTCCACGTATTCTTCAGCCATGCTCCATGTCGGTGCAGAGTGCTCCCTCTCACTACCGTCCGGACCTGCACTATAGTTCGGTCACTGATACTTTTTAAAGGATAATCTGATAAAGCTACAAGTCCTGAAAACAATCCCGTTTCAGAATCTCCCCTGGGATTAAACGTCATGGAGATGAGAAGCCGGCCAAGCGAGGCTTTGTAAATGTGCTTTAAGTGCTAGGATCTCGGCTGAATAGATGTCCTCAGAAGGGCTCCAGCCCAAAAATCCTCTGAGAACCCCAAGAGATTACTACCATGGAGAACAGAACTGAGATGGGTGCATTGGAGGTGAATTGTCCCAGGTCACTGGCCCGTGTGGACTTCCTCTGAGGCCTGCACCGTGCTCAGGTACTGCCAACTGAGGGCCGCCAGTAGCATGGCGCAGGACAGGTATATGGGGGAATAGCTGGGCCGGGAAACCAGGGGGCCATTGAGCAAACTCAGCTTCCTGACAGCGGCTATAATGTTTTGTGTCCGTCCAGAAGATGGGTCAGTCATGGGGATCTTCTGGTAAATCTGAGAGGGATAAAAAAATATCACATTAAAGCAAACTTGTGATAACATTTCTAAACACCAAAAACCATAAAACTGAGAGGTGAGGCTTCAAGAAGAACTCCACGCAACCAGCTAAACACGTCACATAGGTCACACAGCCAACATTACAGGGCTGCACAGGGTCCTCTTCCTCAGGACGGGACATCACTGGGTTTCCCTGGGGGAGGGAACCCTGCAAGGCCCCAAAAACATTGGCCATCTGATCTACACTATATTACCAAAAGTATTGGGACCCCCCTCCAATTCATTGGATTCAGGTGTTCCGTGACATTTCCTTGCTACTAAATATTCAGCGGTCACCTGTTTTTTCAGGGGTTAGGCTTGGCCTCTCAGTTCCAGTGAAGGGAACTCTTAAGGCATCAGCACACCAAGACATTTTGGACAATTTCATGCTCCCAACTTTGTGGGAGGAGTTTGGGGACGACCCCTTCCTGTTCCAACATGACTGCGCACCAGTGCACAAAGCAAGGTCCATAAAGACATGGATGGGGGTACCATCCGGACCTCACAAATGGTCCAACATTTCCATAGACACACTCCTAAACCTTGTGGACGCCTTCCCAGAAGAGTTGAAGCTGTTATAGCGTCAAAGGGCGGAGCCAACCCAATACTGAACCCTACGGACTAAGACTGGGGGGCCATTAAACTTCATGTGCGTGTAAAGGCCGGCGTCCCAATACTTTTGGTATATAGTGTATGTGGCAGGTGTTCAAAGTACATTTTGCAAATCCATGCTTGGCGTGCTGATTTCCCTCCTTACACGGCACCATCAATCGCAGTCACTACCAGCATCCTTCTGATAACATTTGGTTCAGCGCTGTCAGGACTGTGCAGCTCTACACAAGATTTCTATTTATCCAGACACTCCTGCTACGCTGCACTACAATCAAGCAGTAAAGCTTGGTCCAGGCCACACCACCAAAGCTCTGCCCACATGCTACAACCACTTTAAGGGGGCACCTGCTGGCTTGTCACAGGTCAATGAGTATCTATTGCTAAGATCCCTTTTTTAGATCCTGGCTCCGCCCCAACAATAGCCATGGAAGACCTTGCTTTGTATCTAAGCCACTTTCCTCCATTTTATACAGAACACGATGTGCTGACAGGACAGAAGACATTAAAACGTCCGTACCTCCTCCACGTACTGATACATGATGGCTCTCACAGCCTGGATGTTTGTGGCGTCCATCATCAGAGTCACAGCCTGGCCCTTCCGGATCTTCACCACTCCTTTAAACACTTGCTGGTTGTTGTAACAGGCGGCCAGCGTGGCGATAGCCATCACCTAAACATATAAATACTATTAGAGCTGAACAATACCAGGTACAGCTATACACAGGCAATGTCTAGGAGAGCAGCCATTCTCAACCAGGGTTCCTCCAGATGTTGCCAGGGGTTCCTTAAGCTGTGGATGATCAACCTAGAATCAGACGATGCCTGCACAGTAACAGGGCCAATGGCACCTGCAAGAGCCAACAACATGACAGGAATGATCTTTTGGCTCTCTGTAAAAGGGGGGCATGCTTCCCACCGACCACCACCATAAGGGCCATTTTCCCCAATGACCCGATTAATTCATTATTAGTAGGGGGTTCCCCCAAGACCTACAAATTATTTCAGGGGCTCCTTGGGGGTTAAAAGGTTGAGAAAGGCTGTATTAGAGATCATATCAACTACAGCAGCTGATTAACACAAAAAGGTAGTAACAAGTAACAGGCCTCATCCATACAAGTGCATGAAAGGACCACATGTTCTTGTCATTCGCAGATTCTTCCTGCCCCGGTGCAATTTGGGAGAATCCTATTGGCTGCTTTGGAATGAGAACTGTTCCATCAGGCACCTTTATTGCATGAGGCCATGTATCTGGGCATAGTGGGCTTTACCAGGCTATCATTAACTGTATTGCTGGAAAAGCCAGACTGCAGAGCTCAATAGCTAAAGCTGAGATTACAGACATGACTAATTTCCCCCCCAGCCGCCCCCCTCTGTAGGGTCCATGCTTACAATATAAATAGGTATAAAGGAAATTAAAAATAAATAACCCAACCACAAAGTAATGGGAAAAGGATGAGCTGCAGGGGGGATCTCCGGCAATACTGATGACTAGGCTTTTGCCCTCCGCCTGCAATTTTTGGGCTTTCAGAGCTCAGTTCCTCTTTAAAAATAAAGCGGGCCGAAACCATTCTAATTCCCCTTCAATGTAAACGTTTCTATCGTATCGCCAACCACCACTGGGAATCCTCCGCACTCTACCTCCAACATTACCACTCACCGTCTGATATGATCGCAGCAATTGGTGAACTCACCTGCGGGATTGCGCAGAAGTTGAACACGCTTTGGTTTCGCAGTCGGGACAGGTAAAGCAGGACGTCGGGCGCATGTTGCATGGCGTTGGTGATGAGCTCGTTCAGGCAATGCACGGCCGGCACAATGTTTTCTGGCTTGGCGAGGTCAGACAGCTTCTTCCCGTATCTGCTCCACACCTAGTACAAGCAGAGCCACAGACATCAGCTGCTGGTCACTGACCCATCTCCTTGTTACACAACTCCGAGGAAAGCAGTGACAATAAAAGGTGCTGCCAAGAATTCACGGCCACCGCAAAAGGAATTCACGGCAAATGTTATTTTCAGACACTTGCAAGCCGGCCATACACAAGAAGAAAACAAGGCGGCTTGTTAGCAACCAGCTGCACTATACATACATGCCTGAACGGAAGATACTAGGGATGCACCGATAACGGGATTTCAGGATCCAGTACCGATATTTCTTTTGTTCTCGCCGATAACCAAAGTGCCATTCAGGAAGCCAGGCGGCGTGTAAAGACTCGCCACCCAGAACCGGCTGGGAAGGTGATTTGGGTTCTCTCTCAGATGAGGTTTGGGATGTTCTGGTAAAATATCTCCCAGGTCTCCCTCTCAGCTACTCACAGACTGACGCAATTGTTTACAGTTCATAGGATATACCGCACTCCGGAATTCCTTTTTAGGATAGGTTACCGTGATGACCCCCCCTCCTGTCCTAAGTGCGGATTCCATCAGGGATCCCCGATCCACCCGCTGTGGCGCTGCCCTAAAGGTTGTGCGCACCCTCAACTCTGTTTTGAATGTACAATTGGCTCCCTCTCCCCTTATGTGCCTTCTGGGTGTATTTGATGATCCACAATTTGATCCTCCTCTACTGTTGGCCCTTAGGCGGGCACTTGTTTACAGCCACCCGTCTCATTGTTCAGAAGTGGATCTCACCGTCCCCGCCTACGGTCTCTAACTGGGAGGTTGGAACATGATAGAATGTGAACGTATTACCCAGTGGCGTCACAAGGGGGGCGCGGCCCGCACCTGGGTGACACCAAAATGACTGAGTCATTTTGGTGTCACCCCCCTCTGAAAAGTCGGGCGCTCGGTCATGGACCGAACGCCCGACAGTATCAGGAGAGAGGAGGGGACCCGGCGGCATACCTTATCCCGCCGGGTGACTGTCCCCTCCTCTCTCTGCCGGCGTCCATCACCAAGATGGCCGCCGGCAGGTATCAAAATACTGCTGCGCGTGCGCGATGACGTCTCGGCGGGGTGACACTCGGTTACCGATCCGGGTGTCACCCAGCCTGGGGACGCCCCTGGTATTACCTATCAGTCAAGGGGCGCTGTACATAGTTTCTATTCAATATGGTCCAAATGGTTATCCTCTCGCCCTGTCGTAATACCTCCCTGATCTTCCTCTCACATGTTGCCGGCTCTTACCCCACTCCTCTTTTATGGCGGCCATACCACACTGTCTGCCTGTGTGTAGAGGTTACATGTACACCATTTTTTATCTTTATATGCTTAAACATGGCGAGATATGTGTATCCCTGTGGTAGGGGTTGACTACCTTTCTTTTTTTGACCTTATTTCTTTTATGTTTATTTTTGTATTCTTATGGTTCTGTATGTTTTTGCTCTCCACATATGGTTCTCTGTATTTGTTTGTAACCAAAAAACTATCTGATTAAGACTCGCCACCCGCCTTCCTGATGAGCAGAGAAGCCGTCCCCATGCTTCTTGACACTAGGATGACTAGAGACCAATCGGAAAGCCAGGTGCCGCGCCATTACACAGCGCCTGGCTTCCTGATTGGCCAGCTGCCGACCAATCAGGAAGACGGGCATGCCCAGGCATGATTGAGGACGGAGAAGGCCAATAGCTGTGAGAGAGTCAGGACAACGACGGATCAGGAGGAGAAAAGATTGAGAACTGAAATGGTTTAGACAGGAAATGAAGGCGACCTCAAGATGGCTGCCTGAGCATCAACGGGTTAGATTGTGGAGATGAAAGCTCGCAGGGACTTAAGAGTAATGTTTCATAGAGGTAAGGCCGGAGCCCAGCGGTATTGAAATTTGAGGTCATCACTTTGTCTTTTCCACTACATTATAAAATGATTATTATTCCGTCTTTTACATTTGTGATTCTCTATACCCACCAACTGGGCATACGCGCTGATCTCACGCCCACCATCCAAAAAGAATATTTACTGTACCTGCAATGTGATTTCTTTGCAGCACTGAGGAAG